AAATGCCCAGAATAGGTAAATACAGAGAAGGTAAGTTGCTGGTTGCCAGGCACTGGGGGTGGGGGTGGGGTGGGGGGAGTGGAGTAGCTGGGTGCAGGGTTTGGGGTGATGAGAATGTTCTGGAACTGGGTAGTGCCGATGCGTGCACAGTATTATGCGTGTGCTAAATGCCACCAAATTGTACACTTTAAAACGGCAACTTTTATGTTATGTGTGTTTTACCACAATAAAAAAAAAAAAACAGGTAAAGCGCTTAGAGCAGTGCCTGCCTGGTGCGTCTTCTATGCGATGTCATTACTCACTACCAGTCTTTGTTCTGCGCTAGCACATTTTAAACTTGCTCCCACATTCCACTCCTGTGCTGTCTTCACTCCAGGCTGCTTTCTCACACCCCTCCCTGCACCCGGGGGCATCCAAGGCCTGTGCTGGAAAGCTACAGGGGGACTGTTTTTAGAGTGCTTTCCATTTCAACACGCCAGGAAGCCATTCTTCAGTGGGGTCTCCCCACCCCCTGGGGCTCTACCTGCAGGGGACCCCACTCCCTTCTGCTCTCAATTTTCACAGGCTTATCAGAGCTTCTGACACCTCCCCAGTGCTCAGCCCTTAATCTCTCGTCCAACCCTGAGTTTGTTTCATTCATTCATTCATTCATTCATTCATTCATTCATTCCACTGTTTATAGGATATTTCCCGTGTGCCCAGCACTGCTCCTGCCACCAGCTACTTGGTGAACAAGACAGGGGCTGACATTCCACTGGAGGCGACCAGCAGTAGGAAAGTTCTGACTGTACATGTCATGGTAGATAGTGACAGCTAGCTGTTCTGCAGGAAAATAAAGTAGGAAAAAGGGACAGAGAGAGAGAGAGATGGGATACTCGAAGCCCCCGGGGCCCACAGAATGGTTGTCGGAAAGGAGGCGCTTCCTTCCATCACTGGTCCCGGTAGCCGGGTGTGCCCTAAACGGTATCCTTCTTGATCTCCTGTATAAGTGATCCCAATTGCTGTTTTGAGAGCGCCCCCGCCCCCGCCGTTCACGCCGTGGTGGGAGCGTCATCTGAGTTGGTTCTGTTCCCTGTTGAGAAGACCAGCGGCTATTTCAGCTAAACACGAGCATTTGCAATGGAAAACGAAAGCAGTCCGTCTCTGCAAAGAACATCTTAACTGGTGGGTCGCCGCCTGCGTGTTGGAAATGTTGGCGGTGCAAAAAGATAAAGGGGTCTTTTAAAGCCTCTGCGAGTTGGGGGAGGTGGGGAAATCTGACTGCCTAGTCCCCACCTTGCGCCCCCACCCCACTTCCCCATCCGCGGTCTTCCAGAATTCTGATGCTCAGGCAGGGCCTGCAGTGCCAGCGGCAGCCACGAGATGGCAGTGTCGCTCTACGCTTGCAGCCCGGCGGGCGCCTGGGCTGAGCTGCAGCAGAAGGGGCGGGGCGGGGGCCGCGACAGGGGCAGCTGCCTGGTGGGTGGGGCGTGGCGGGGCCTCAGGGAGTCTAGCGCTGACTAGAGGGCCCTGGAGCTGGGGCGAGGTTGGCTCCTAGTTGGATCTGCCTTCCCACACTTACAGAACGTGGGGCAGGACCACTCCTGGCCTCAGTTACCCCATCTGTGCACAGGGAGAGAGTTTGGACTGTGTAATTCTTGTGATCCTGCCCCATCCTATGAGACCAGCCAGCTGCAGGAGATGCCGGGCTTGCTGGGTGGGGGCACAGGGTGGGAGTGAGAGGGCAGCTCTGCCCAGCCCTCGGAGTTTCCTAGGTCACTGCTGCTAGTCCCCCGCACCCCATCCGGGAGCCCTTCATGATCAGGGAAGGCCTTGTTCCTGCTCAGAATAACGCCGGAAATATCCCCATTAGATATAGACTCAGGGTCCTGGTTAATATGCAGAAACCTTCATCCAACCACGGGACAGGCTGAGGCAGAGCTGCAATTCTCAACTCTGCTCACCATGAGCTCAGAGAGGGTTAGGTGCTTGTCCAAAGTCACACAGCTGGGAGATGGAAAACCCACACTCAGTACCAGATCCCTCTCCTCAGCCTCTGGTTCAGGCATCGTCAACATCACCAGTCCGGAAGGCAGGAAGCCTGTCTGTATCTCAGCCCTCAGGGCAACACTTACATCAATACCTGCACAGGCCTAGAGGGAGGCGGGTGGCGGGGTCTGGAAGGCTTCTCTGAGGAGGTGACATTTGAGCTGAGATCTGAAGGGAGAAGGAGCCCGCCATAGGAAGAGCTGGGAAGGGTGTGCCAAGGAGAGGTAACTTCAAGTACAGGGCTGCCCAGGTGGGAACACAGAGGCTGGTATGGCTGCCGTGTGGTGAGCGGGCTTGCAGAGGTAGGCAGGTGGATGTGCCTACTCCCAGCCCCAGCTCTGCCCTGGAGAAGTGGAGTGACTCTGTGCGGTGTGATGGAGCGACCCTGAGTGGGGAGGAGGAAGGCAATTGCTGTCTGCGGTCACACCCAACTCTAGGTGACCCTTGGCTTGGGGACTTGCTGGACTGGCTCACCTCCTCCCCATGCACCCCCCACCCAAGCCTTCCCTGACCTGCTGCCTGGTCAAACATGTGGAGCACCTTGGCAGAAACACACCAGGTCACTCTGGCCACCTGCTCCCCTGCTGTGACATGCCCTCATGATACAGCTTGTATAGAGTGAGACAGAGCACTCCCATGGGCGCACACACTGCACTCCATTTATGTTCTGTCACTCCATCCCCCTACACAGGCCTGGCATACAGTAGGTGCTCAGCTCAGCAAACACTCATAAACGAGAGAGCGGGAAAGAGAAGAGGTGGCTGTGGCGGGATCCCAAGAGAGACCTGACAACATCTGGGGGCTCATCCTTCCAGCTGGGCAGATGGTCACAGAGAGGGGACAGATAGGCCCTTGGCACAGCGATGCGAGACCCAAGGGGACCACCCATTGTCCAGCCTGTTATATGGCTCTCTATGAACCGCAGGCCCTGCCAGGGGGCCCAAAGGGAACTTGGCCAGGGCTGGGTTCCTTGAAAAGGAAACGTGTTAGCTGCAGCAGGAAAATCCCTTTATGTTTTGCAATTAACCTGGGCTTCAGACTCAGCGCCTGCCCCTCGCTCTCTCTCCCTTCTTTTATCTAAGAAGAGCTGAGTGCTGCGTTGGCTAATGAGCTTGTCTGTACTAATGAAGCAGGTGCCCTGTCCGCGCCCCCCCCAACCCCCTTTCTCCCTCGCCAGCTGGGAGGGGCAGAGGATTGTTCTGATGCGAGCTCTGGGCCTGCAGAGGAAAATCAGATACATAATAATAATGACCATAACGATGAGAATAATAATGTCAACCAGGGATTCCTTTCAAGGAGCTCTGGCTTCATTGGTCAGGGGTTATCTGGGATACCGCCATGGCTTCCACGTCTCAGTCGGGGAAATTGAGGCTTGAGAGGTTCAATGACTGGCTCCAGCTTGCACGACTCGGGAGCAGAGAGCGGCAGAGCGGGTATTCTCAGTCAAGGCTCCAAGACGCAGCAGTCCTCCCAGATTTGTCTGTGCGTCACCCCATGCTGCCTTATTGACCGTTTCCAAAGAGTTTGACCCACTTTTTCATGGAACACGGAGACACTGGAGCCAGTGGCTGATATGACGGGGGTTGGGGCAGAACAAGGACTCCAACTCAGGGTGACCCCCTCCTCCGCCCCCAGCAGGCCCCCTGCTTCTCCGGCTGAGTGGGGGGCAACTTTCAAGGACAACCTGAGGACTGCCGGCGGAGCCCCCGCGTGCGCTCAGCACGATCCATCCATTTTGCTTGCCCGGTTGCCTTGCCCTGGCTGTGGGGGGTGGGGTGGGTGGGGCGACCAGGGGGGGAATCAAGGACTCCTGGAGAACGGGGACCGTGGCGCCCGCTGACGCCCTGCCCCTGACTGGGAGAATCTGACCACCCAGTCCCCCTCTCCGCCTCCGGTAGTCCCCGCGTGGTCACCGCCTGACCCGCTCTGGCCCGCGCCCCCTGCGCTGCCCCGCACTCTTCCTGCCTGCGGGACGTGGGAAGGTGCGTCCTGTCGCTCCGGTCCATAAGGGCCCCCCGAGGGTCCCCGCCTCTCGCCTGCGTAGACGCCATCCCCTAAGACGCCATCGATCCCTGACTGCGCCCAGCCAGCGCGCCACCTCACCCCTTGCCCCATCCTGTGCCCCCGTGGAAACTCCTCACGTACCCCCCCCGGACTCCCGGGGGGCCACCCCCGCCTCCCCCCTCCCCCAAAGCACACCAAAGCTGTGCCACATCTACCCCGGGACCTCTCGTCTGCGCTCAGCCTCGCGGTCCCTGTCCCCTGCAGACACCTCCTCTCAAGACCTCGCCGCCTCATTCCAAGAAACCTTCTCCTGCCTCCCTCAGCCCCCGACTTTGGGAGCTCCCGCCACGATACCCCGAGTGCGCGCCAACCCATCTGCGCCTTATCCGGCAGGTCACCCCTCTGGTGGTCCCTGT